CCGTGTGGAGACCCCTGCCAGCGTTGAGATGCTTACACATTCACTGACTAGCATCATTGCATCTGCTTTGTGAGATGGAGGAGAAATTTGTGGACTGATGTTGGACATATGGGTTAATGTTGGACTTAAGGGCTTGGGCAGCATTGGGTTGGGATATTTTCTTGATGCGCACTTAACCTTTACATAAAACACTCTTATACATGAGTTGCTGTGGATTTGTTTCTCCAAAGTACCCAGACTAACACACTGAGTAAGATTACAGCCCCTTCTCAGCCGACTGCATGAAGAGTCCCAAGGCGGAGCACCATGTATTTGAGGGCGAGAAAGAAGAGTTGAAGTTCTCACTTAGGAAAACTTCTTCTCCCTGCTCCTGGGCAGTGACCAAAGCTGACCTAGGGAGAAGTAGCGACAGAGTCCCGTCCTCTCCTCCTCCTCCTTCCTGGGTCCTCACACATCGGGAGATGGCTCGGGCCCGGGTGGCTGGGGGAGGCTGCAGAGATCACCTCAACACCCATTCCCGATATGTCCTTGCCGGTTGCCTTGCTGCCCCTGGAGACGGGAGGTGACACACCCCAGCCCCTGCTCTCTGTTTTCTGTGACCTTGGCCTCATGGCTTTGTGGCTTAGTTTTCCCTTCCCTAAACATCAGAGAGACATCAGCAGATGAATGGATAAACAAAACGTGGCACCTACGTCCAGTGCCGTCCAGCTCGGCCAGCAGGAGATAGGAAGTCCTCATGACATGCTACAGTGTGGCCGGGGGCTGAAGACATCATGTTAAGTGAAATAAGCCCATTACCATAAAGGACAAATATGTGTATGGCCTCTCATCTTAAAAGACAAATCTATTGAGGCCAAAGTTTGGTACCAGGTCCGGGGGTGGGGGGAAGGTAGGGGGAGTGGGGGGCAGGGTTTTGGTTGATGGGGAAGTCTCATTGATTCCGTGTGGGCTTGCATAGCTGGTTATCGTCATGGCTGTCAATAAGCTACACACCTGTAGAAAATGTAGTTGGCAAAAATTCTGGGCTAGATACCTTTTCAATGACCCCGAAAAAGGGGATTCCTTTGGAGATTGCTAAAGGGATTTGGTTCCTGGGTTTAGAGGTTCCGGGTCACGATTTCACAGGCCATCTCAAAGAATTGGCTTAATAAGTGTGGCACTCCTGTTCTGCACCTGATTCCTGGCATCACATAGTGCCTAGGGCCTGGGAACCTTGCACGCAGCCATCCACAGCACAACCGGTGGCCTCTGTTCACCAGGAACAGAAGGAGGCTCGGAGGATGTAGAATGTGTGGCTGCCTGCCCCTTTTGCCATGAGATTAGACAATCTGGATGGTGCCTGCCCAGAAGAAGCCTGCTCACAGCGGGGAACGGAATTTCAAATTCTCACGGACTCTAGACTGGGTGGAGCCATGGAGGGGGCCAAGGGAGTGAACCCCTAAGAGCGTCTTTAAACTTTACATCGGAAATACCTCCTGAAGTCGTAAAACCAACCAAGGTTAGGTTGTAGGGCCCTGCTGAGTCATTTCCTGCTCGCTTGGCTCGGCACCATCCTGCCAGTTGTCGCGTGTGAGCTCGCTGTTACACCCACCCCCCTGTCCGTCTGTCTTGCGAAGTGGCTGCCTCCTTTTTGCCAACCGTCTACTTTGCCCAGCACAATGTCCTTTCCCAAAGACCGGGGCCTCCTGAATAACGCATCCACCGGATGTGAGACTGGCCGTGTTAAGGAGCCTTGGCCTCTTCTAAGACTCCTGGCCATGCTTGCTGCTGTCGGCAGTCTCGGGTAGGTTCAGCGTTTGTCAACAACCGTGTAACTTAAATGCATTGATTCTTCTCTGGTGTTCCTTATCCGTTGTCTAGCTTCCGCATGCATATGATGCACCCAACCCCAGCTTAGTTTAACTCGTGCAAACCACGTCTGCCTTAGCATGAGCTCTTAAGCGTTATCTACGTAGGGTCAAAGGAACAAGGACGCCTGGAAGGTTGGCTGGGAGCCTTAGGGGGCAGTGGGCTTATGTTCCCCAGGGCAGAACGACTCAGACAAGGAGGGTGCACATGATGACCTAACTCGATGCACGGGACCCCTGTCACCAGAGCGTACAAGTAGGAACGGTTGAATTGGCACGTGCTTTGCTGTGTGCGTTCTCAACAACAAAATGTAAAAGAGTAAACCATTAGGGAGAAGACTCCCTGCTTCACAGAGCTGTGCTCTTCCAAAGAAGTTACAATGGAGTCAGCACTGGCCCTCGGCCATCAGGTGAAAAGATGTTCCCCGGACGAGGGGTGGTGCTCCAGGGTGGAAGGCTGCTTCCTAGGGTCTCCAGGACCCATCGCTGTTAGAAGACAGTCTCCAGGCCTTTCTTCTGAGGTGCTTCTGGGTAGACTCGAACCTCCAGGCTTTGGGTTAGCAGCCAAGCGCGGGAACCACCTACTCCACTCAGGGACTTGGTTCACTTTGGTGGAGAAGATTAAATAAGAAAGTAAGCACGTAGTGGGTGCTCAAGTGTTCAGACAGTGTGTGTGTGTGTGACTTCTGGACCGATAGTGCAAGGTCACAGCCCCCAAAGGAAAGCGCCCACCGTCTTTCACCTCTGAAACTCCAAGTAACACCATCCCCAAAGCTGGGAATTGAACGGATCAACCAATGATAGCGTACTCCAGAATAGAGCTACTTTTAAACAACAAAGCTCATTGCCATTGAGTCGATTTCGAATCATAGTGACCCTAGGGGACGAGGCAGAACTGCCCCTGTAGGTTTCCAAGAATGTAATTGTTTTACAGGAGTAGAACGCCTCCTCTTTCTCCCAGGGAGCAGCTGGTGACTTCAAACTGCTGACGTTGTGGTGAGCAGCCCACTCGTAGCCGCTACGCCACCCAAGACTGAGAATCCCAGGTTGGTGAAGGAAGCCCCAACCTGAAAAGAGCTGGTGGACTCAGCAGAGATACGCCTTCCTTCCCAACACCTTCCTATCCCCGGGCCTCAGGATGGCTGCCCCTCCCGGAGGCTCTACCAGCCCCCTTGACCCCTAGCAGGCCACCTGCCTTGAAGTCACCTGCTCCTTGGCCAGCCTTGCCCCTGGTCAGTGTGCACTCCCTAGGACACTGACCACTTGAACAGAGCTTACCCTAACCCCCCAGTCCCTCTAACACTACGCCTCGTCCGAAGACCATCTGTTCCTCTCCTTAAGGAATACCATATGCCAAAAACAAAAGACAGCCTTACCAGTGGGGTAGACCGAGGGAACCCCCAAAACTATGACACACCTCCCAGCCACCCTTCAAGTCCAGAACTGGCTCAGCCCCATGGCTCCACTCCAGCCAACAGCAGGTCTAC